CTTTTCTGACTGTGAATCAGTTTATGTTGGTTTCTTTCCTTCTTCTTGAAAAAGGAGAAAAAGTCAAAGTTGTTGCTGTATGTATGTATTTTCCAACAATTTACTGCTCTAGAGCTATGCACGAAATGTTGTCTTGTGCTAGGATGATTGTTGTATACTGATGTTGCAAGAATATGTGTCTTGAATTATAGATGTTTCTCTTTCCTTGGGTAAATTGCCTAAAAAGAAAATTTTTTAAGGATCTGAGGAATTTGATTATAATTATTATACTATATATATCTTGATAATATTAATAATAATAATAATAAAATTTATAAAAAAATATTTTTTAATTGAATAAATTGATTAAATAAAATTGAAATATTATTGATAATACCATTTTACTTAGGTTATAAGTTCAAGTTTAATAAGTAAAATAAATAAAATAAAATCTTTTATTTTAAGAACTTAAGATAATAAGTTTTTTAGATAATTTATAATTCTAATAATCAATAAATAAGTTTTATAGATAATCTGAAATTAATAATATTTCAATCAAGTAAAATTTTTATAGAAATTGTTTACTTGAATAAAAATCTTTTAGAAGATTTTTTTTCTCTTTTTTTTTCTTTTTTTTTTTAATTTATTAGTTCAATAATTTATTATTTTTCAGAATAATCTATAGAAACAAACTGTTGATGATAAATTATTAAAGATTTAAAAATTAATATTATGACGAAAGTATGAAGTCATATATTTTCCCATTTCTATTAGATGAGACTTGGATCAATCCTATACAAGCTTTCTGTCAGTAAGGGAAATATTCATCCCGGTTATTTCTAAATGTACTAAAAATACTAAAAATGAATTCTTTTGGATTGCCGAAAGAACCTGTGAACAAATAATCGTTGCACAAATATATTAATGAATGTCGGTGATTTTTGGCATAATATACTTTAACTTTCTATTTAAACAACAACCTCTTCCCTATGAATGCGCCATATCTGTACGACAAAAATTCATGATGCCTTTGTTACCGCCGATAAATTTTCCAAAATGGCTCGAGGAGAATTCGGACAAGTTACAGCCACCAGTAAATAATTTTCTATTACAAAGGGGAGACTTTATTGTTATGGTGGTGGGAGGGCCTAATGCTCGTACTGATTACCACGTTAATCAAACCGAGGTTCGAGTTTTTATATTTATTCTCGCGATATAGTTTCTTGTGATCGTTCATATTCGTTTCAAATATTTTTATCTCAGGAATGGTTTTATCAACACAAAGGGGATATGATCCTTAAGGTGGTCGATAATGGCGAATTTAAAGACATCTCCATAAAGGAAGGAGATATGTTCCTGCTACCTGGTAAGAAAAGAGAAAATGGGATAATAGTAAATTATGACTAATTTTTTACTTGCACCAAGGAAATACACCGCATAACCCCGTTCGTTTTGCTAATACTATCGGAATTGTGATGGAAAGAAATCGCAGACCCGAAGAAATCGGTTAGTGGCAATGATTTGTCTCTTAGATATCATATCGAATAATCAATCATTATTCTTATTCACCAGATCGCCTTAGGTGGTATTGCGAAAATTGTAAAGAAATAGTATACGAAGAATCATTTTATTGCTATGATCTAGGCACTCAACTAAAACCCATCATCCAAAAGTATGCCGCAGAAGTCAATCTAAGAACATGTAAATCTTGCGGTCACGTGAACAGTGCAAAGTAATGAGATAAATTTGTAATTTAGCATTGAGATGGAAGCTTCTTCGGTGATTGTGGAGACGATTGTATTTCAGGGAAGAACTATTGTGCAAATTAGCATTTTCGTCGAGATTTCACTGGACTCAATAAATGTTTTTTTTTTTTTTAATTTTTATGTTAATAAGTTTCTATTACTATAAGGTTTGCCAAGATTTTATTATGCAATATACAGTATATAGCATATAACTTAATTCGATTTTTATAGAATATAAATTTATTCTAATGAATTATTAATAAAAATTTTGCATAATATAATATAAAATAGAAAATATCTTTATCTTTAATGTCAAAAGAATTGTATGACGCGGAATTTAAAGTATCTCTTTTGTCTTAATAATTTCAAACGTTTTTGTTACTATAAATAAAATTCACGAATAATATAACCAAGGTGTTTTTGAACAACTTTATTTTGATATTGACGACACGTGCTTAACAATATTCCTCTCGTGTTAATGAGTGAAAATAAATTAAGGTATAGAAGTTCATGTAAAAACCGTGTCGCCATCTATGATTCTAAACTTATGGATGCGTGATTTTATAGTAATGTTTACAACTCCAAGTAGACTTCAAAGTTTTCCACGTAGCAAATTAGTATTTATATTTCGTAGAATAATCCTTCGGAGAAACCACCAAACCCCTCCCCTTTCGAGCACCCCGATAAACAGTCTCTATAATGTCTATGAGTTCTTGCTTATCTTCCAACGCCTAAAGGATAGTCGATGCGACTTGTTAGATCATCTTGAATATCATCAATATATCAAAATGAATAGCAATTACTAACCCAATTGATCTTATTATTGTTACCGGTCCCAAGATCAATCATAATGTGTTTGTTGCGGAAAAAAAACATTACAGTACATGGATCGTAAAGTTCATACATCTGAGGACGAGAACGTCGTGTTGAGGAAATATTCAACTACAGGCTGATCATTCTGATTGACTCGTAAACATACCTTGTTAAAATCAGGAACTTCAGTAATATCGACCTGCCGGTTAAAAAGTAATTTGTACGCTTAGAATCCGACCGAAATATTTCACAAAAGGTTTTCGTGCTTTTCGATTATAAATCAATTACCAGATAGATCACGGCGAAATTCTTGACTTTTTCGGCTATGCCGTACAAGGTTTCGTCCATTTTCATACAAGTTGGGTCCTGAACAGTTTTTCTTGTGAGTTGATGCTATCGACGAATTAACGAATGGAGACAAGAAACTAACCCAATCGTGCCCAAACCTAATTACCACCACTCGATCTTCTTCGGATAATATTGCCTGATCGACTTGCCAGCCTTTACTCCCCGGCATTAATTGAGAAAAAAAAAAATTAGGTATGTTCGCATTGGAAAAACGCAACCTTTAAATAGAGTAAATTTACCATTGGTCAAGTGAGGAAGAAAATATGACATTTTTTTCAATAAGGTCGGAGTGAATTAAATTCTATACTGCATTTTATAATTAATATCACATGATCTCAAAATTATCCAATTAGGATACAGCCAATCATCACAACTCAGAAAATTTTTTCGATCTATAAAAAATCCTGGAAATTTGAAAACTCTTTCGTCCTCACAAAAAGTCGTAGCGATGACTGCCGTAAGTTGGAGTCGAATTCATAAATTTTTTTACATGCCTCTAATCCAATCAACGAACTCATATTTTAAGTAAAATTCATGATAATTTCATTTTCTTCCCTGGGAAATGTATAGACGAAAGGTAGTTCGGCAAAGAACGCAAAAAAAGCGGTACAAAAAAAGAAATATATCATCGATGCATCAGTTCCTTCTCGTGACAAGATTTTTGACTCTTCAGCATTCGTATGTTTTAATGTATATGAATGTGAAAATCTTAATTTTTATGTTCTAATTCAAGGAAATGACAATAGGAAAAATTTCTCCAAGATCGAATAAAACTTAACGGTCGCACTGGTCAATTAGGAGAAGTCGTTAGCATATCCCGCAGCGAAGATCATAAAATTACCATCACCACCAACTCTCCCGTTTTTCCAAAGAGATACATGAAATATCTTACCAAAAAGTTCATGAAGAAACAACGTATTCGCGATTGGCTACGTGTTGTCGCTACCGACCAGGTAACTTCATTTTCCATTTTGAGCATTCTTAATAAATGATTGTTAATTTTTTTTTTCGTATGTGTTACAGAACTCGTATCAAATAAGATACTTCAACATTAGCAATGAAGAGGGTGAAGAGGAAGAAGAGTAAATTAGAACTAATGTTAATTGTATTTTTTTATTGGTTCATGTAAAACTCTCTTCTTGACTGCTCACTCTATGATAAGTTACATTACTCAATAAATGATTTTATCAATTGTGGTCATTCTCTCCTACATTCATGTGTAAATCTTTCTGAATCGATCATATCAGTCTGGCAGTTGTGTAAGAAACAACGTAAATCTTTTCGCAATGTTTGTTGGTAGAAGGACATTGGGAAAGTTATTGTAAAATTTGGTTCGTGACCACATTTTACTTCAAATGTGATATCCGGCAATACATGTCTTCACAAAGGAGACGACTCACTCCCCCATCAACCTCAATTCAACTCTATTCCGCGGGGACAATTATATTGAAATATTTGTTGGCAATTGATATCTAGGAATTTCAGGGCATTTAATATTTTTTATATTAAAATTTTAAACAGTATGATAACAATTCAGAAAATATTAAATTTAAAATGTACCCTATAGAACTTTCCAAATGAGATATAGGTTTTGTGGAGAGGTATATGGTTATGGCGGGTCGCGAAATCACCTCGCCCGGTGTTCTGCTAGATGTACACGTTAATAGATGTTTTACCTGATAATTTTCCCACTTTGAAGAACCTACCCATCTTGATTTTCCTCATAATCTTCCATATCCACATCTCTAATATCTTCATTACTTTCACCTTCCACCTCTTTGCCGCTATCCTTGGTTCTCACAAAAGTCCTACTGATTTTGTTATACTGATGCAAAGTATCGTTTATTTTTCGCTTGATTATCTCTACTATTGAAATTGTTTTCGCGATAACTGGGCCATTGCCAGATAGGATCAAGGTAGTGTTTGAAGCCTCATCGGATGCTTTATTCTTATTCTTTTTTTTTATTTTACAGTTGAATTAGCGATGCTTCTCAAGTTGTTTCGAGTGTTTGTTATTCGCGTTTTCATAAAGAAAATAAGGACACATACTTTTAATGCATTTAATCCTTGCTCCACATACTTCCTTATTTTTCCGGATCGCGTAATTCTCAGTGAATACTCATGGTTTGTTTCCCTCTTGGTCGTTGGTTCTGGTGAAGGTGTAGTTGAGGCCTCTGCATTGAAAGTAACTGATTCGACAAGTGAATCTGATACTGGTTCTATGGTCTTACTCTTCTTTCTTTTATACGGATTTTGTTTTGAAAGTCGCTTAGAATTTCGTCTTTTGGGTGACATTTTCTAAAACACAAAACATCTGATGTTTGTCACTTGTTGTCAGATGGCGCAGTATCGATTATCGCAGATTATATGTTTATTTTTTTACAAAATAAATTCTCTTTGCGAGTTTCATTTTATTGACTCTAATAATTACTATAGTGTCTGCATTACAAAATATGAACTAGAATTAACTAATATCCGCCTCACTATTATTAGTGGGGACTTGTAATCCAACGCGATTTGCTGTTTTTTCAATCTGTTGTTGAATGGTGAATCCTTGCATCGGATTATATTGCATCGATAATTCCTGTTGGTATGAAAGCGAAAGGTCAAGATAAGCGAGGTGGTGTTCCTCATTTCATTTGTCCATTCTTTCATAAAAGTACAAAAAAAAAAAAAAAAAAGAGGAGGCTGACCACATACATCATATCTACGATTACTCTTCAAAAAACTCAGTAAATCTGATGCATCTTGATCAAGCTTTCTCAATGATTCTTTGTCATCTATATTTCGATTCTGATGAAATACTTTGATCAATTCTAATTTCCAATATGGATTTTTATTTTGTGGTGTAAACTGTTGAAGACCAAGATTTTTTAAAAGCAGAATTACACATTATGAACAACAACAACAAAAAAAAAAAAAAAAAATACAGAAAATTTACTTGTTTTCGAACTTCTCTTAATAACTGTCGATAAATTGAAAGTATCGTCTTCTTACTTATATCATTCCTGATCGTTTTAGATATCGTCGCCGTCGAGGTTGCCATGTTCAAAAAAATAATTCCGATAATGCCTATAGTGCACAGTGCGTGATGCTCTTAAAGTAGTACGTACGTGCTACTTCCACATGATTTAAGAAAAACCCATAAGCATGAATGGGCAATATAACCATAAAATCTTATTTTAAATTGATGTTTCTTCGTACTCCATGGAGACTGGTTATTGTAAGCGAACGAAATTTATCCAAATTTTTTCGCTCCTACACGGTACTCCTCGACTAATTTCAAGTCTCACTAGCTGGAGTTTAGAGATTGCCTTTTTTTTTCCATATCCTAACATTCCTTACCAGTGAGTTAACATTTTTTTTTAATTAGAAATTTTTATTATACTGTATATTGTATTCCGTATAATTTATATCGACCCCATGATAAATTGATTAGTACCCGGGGGGGTATTCTACTAGAAGGGGGGTAGTATAAATGGCGGGGTATTTAGTGTCTTATTATCATCTGACGTATCTCTCACTTGCCCATTCATATTGCAATTTTATTGGCTCTAGCTTAAT